CCCTGGGTAGAGTGCCGTGGCATTACAGCTCACAGCAACCTCCAACTCCTGGGCTCAAGCGAGTCTCCTGCCTCCGCCTCCCAAGTAGCTGGGACCACAGGCGCCCGCCACAACGCCCGGCTATTTTTTGGTTGCAGCTGTCATTGTTGTTTGGCCGGGTCTGGGCTGGGAATTCGAACCCGCCACCTTAGGTGTACGTGGCTGGCGCCTTAGGCGGTTGAGCTATAGGCGCCGAGCCAATTCTACCAAACCTTTAAAGAGAAACTAGTACCCATAATACATAACCTTTTCCAAAACATAGAAAAAGAAGAAAAACTCCCCAACACATTCTAAAAAGGGATTATCACCCTAATCCTCAAACCAGGAAAAGACCCAACAAGAAAAGAAAACCACAGACCAATATCTTTAATGAACATAGATGCAAAAATACTCAATAAGATCCTAGCAAACAGAATCCAGCAACACATCAAACAAATTATACACCATGACCAAGTGGGTTTTATCACAGAGTCTCAAGGTTGGTTCAATAGACATAAATCTATAAACATAATACATCACATAAACAAACTAAAAAATGAGGACCATATGATTCTATCAATAGATGCAGAAAATTTTTTTGACAATATCTGGCATCCTTTCATGATTAGAACACTTAATAAAATAGGTATAGAGGGGACTTTTCTTAAACTGATAGAGGCCATCTACTGCAAACTCACAGCCAATATCATATTGAATGGAGTAAAATTGAAAACATTTCCACTCAGATTAGGAACCAGGCAAGGCTGTCCATTGTCTCCACTGCTTTTTAACATTCCAATGGACGTCTTAGCCATCACAATAAGGCAATAGAAGGTGATCTAGGGTATACAAATAGGGTCAGAGGAGATCAAACTTTCACTCTTCACAGTTGATATAATTTTATACCTGGAAAACCCCAGAGACTCAACCACAAAACTCTTAGAAGTGATCAAGGAATGCAGTAGCATATCAGGATGCAAAATCAATGCTCACAAATCAGTAGCTTTTATATATAACAACAGTAGTCAAGCCAAAAAAACAGTCAAGACTCTATTCCCTTTCCAGTTGTGCCAAAGAAGAGAAAATATTTGGGAATTTACCTAACAAAGGACATGAAAGATCTCTATAAGGAGAATTATGAAATGCTGAGAAAAGAAATAGCTAAAGATGTTAACAAATGGAAAAACATACCATGCTCATGGCTGGGAAGAATCAACATTGTTAAAATGTCCATACTACCCAAAGCAAAATACAGATTTAACGCAATCCCTATTAAAGCACCTCTGTCATACTTTAAAGATCTGGAAAAACTGGTATTTCATTTTATATGGAACCAGAAAAAAACTCAAATAGCCAAGATATTACTCAGAAATAAAAACAAATTGGGAGGAATCATGCTACCAGACTTCAAACTATACTATAAATCTATAGTGATCAAAACAGCATGGTATTGGCCCAAAAATAGTGAGATGGATGTATGGAACAGAATTGAGAACCAAGAGATGAACCCAGACACTTATTGTCATTTGATGTTTAATAAGCCCATCAAAAATATAAATTGGGGGAAAGATTCCCTATTTAACAAAAGGTGCTTGGAGAATTGGCTGGCAACTTGTAGAAGACTGAAACTGGACCCACACCTTTCACCATTAACTAAGTTAGACTCTCACTGGATCAAAGATTTAAACTTAAGACATGAAACCATAAAAATACTAGAAGAAAGTGCAGGGAAAACCCTTGACCTGAACATAGCAGGGCATGTCCCCATGGCCCCAGACTCTGGGTCGGTACCCGTGGGCTCAGCCTCTAAGCCTGCCTTCATACCAGGCTGTTTCCCAAAGCACCAGGCTCCAGGCCTTCCCTGAGAACTCAATCTCTGGGCTTGCTCCGCTGCCAAATGATTTCAGCAGCCCTAGGCTTCAACAACCCCAACCCCAGTGCCTGCCCCTCCAATTCAGGCTCCAGGGTTGCTCTTGGTACTTGTTGGTACTGTAGTGATAGCACTTTTACATAACTCATGTTGTTTGGTCCTGACAACTCTGAGATACTTAAAACTATTAGCTCTGTTTTATAGATAAAGCACAGAGAGGTTTTAGTATCCAATTTTTACATCTATGTTTATACAAAAAGTAATCACAATTAATTAAAATTAGGATCTGTCCCATGCCATTCTTTTTACTAAGATGCAAATTCTTTAGCACTTAAATTCTTGCAGCCATTTCATAACTTTGAATCTAACCATCTGTATAGAAGGCTGTTCACAGAGAATTTAGGATCTTTCCACCCCACCAAGGAATTTTCTGCCTCTGCCACAACTAATAATTTGTTAGTATCTGACAACAATGCTCCACTCTATTTAAGATGCCTTCTCTTTCTGACCACTTAACTCTTTCCTGGAGCCATTGATAACTAACTAGTTGGTGGGAACTTTACATTAATAATGAGTCACAGTCTTCCTAAAAACAGGGTTTTTGTTTTTGGGTTTTTGTGTTTGTTTGTTTGTTTTTTGCAGTTTTTGGCTGGGGCTGGGTTTGAACCCACTACCTCCGGCATATGGGGCTGGCGCCTTACTCCTTTGAGCCACAGGCGCTGCCCCTTAAAAACAAGTTTTAAGAACTTTACAAATTCCCCTTTCATTGTATATATTTCAAGCTAACAAAGAACAAATCTACTTAGATGAGTACCCAAATCCTTTGTAACAAAAAGTTTTGTGTGGTGAATAACTAAATGTGGCCAGTTAATGCTACGATTTCTCAGTGTGACTGAATAAGGCCTAGAAAAAAGATAAATAGTATGGAGATGTCTAAGGAAAATGAAAAGCTATCCTATTCTGAATGAGGGTTTTGAGAAAAGTTGGTATTTTGCACACAGTATTGAAGAAAAAAAAAGGATTATCGGCATGGGCATCGCCATCGGAGAAAATGGTAGATCTGAGATGTGGGTTGGAGAGAGTGTGTGATACTGATATGAAAGTAGTAAAAATTTGTGACTGAATTTTGAGATTAAAAATATAAGGGCAAAGTGCTGTGAATTATGGTTTCAGTAATTCACCAGATGGAAGAAACTCACATGCTCAGGAGTCCCTCAAAAGGTAGGCTCCAGATTCCATGCATATATATTTTTTTTTCAGATAGGGTCTCACTCTTTTGCCGGGGCTAGAGTGCAGTGGCTTTAGCATAGCTCAGTGCTACCTCACACTCCTGGGCTCAAATGATTCTCTTGTCTCAGCAACCTCAGTGTTAGCTGTTACTACAACCATGCACCACCATGCCAGGCTAATTTCTCTATGTTTTGTAGAGACTGGGTCTGGCTGTAGAGACTCAGGCTGATCTTGAACTCCTGGCTTTAAGCAATCCTCTCACCTTGATTTCCCAAATTACTAGGATTACAGGTGTGAGCCACCACGCCCAGCCTCTCTGTACATTCTAAATTTCCAAAAATGAGTCTTCCTGAAGAATTTATACTTATATTATGAACTCAGCAGCAGAAACAGGTACCCAGGGGTTTTTTTTTGTTTGTTTTATTTTTTTTGTTTTTTTTTTGTTTTTTTTTTGAATATTTTGGCCCGGACTGGGTTTGAACCCACCACCTCTGTCTTATGGGGCCCAGCACCCTACTCTTTTGAGCTGCAGGTGCCGCCCAGCCAGGTCTTTTTATATTCCTATCTTGAATATTTTTCCAAAGGTAAATATCTTTATCATATTTGTGATTATTAAGCATATATAAGTTTACAAAAAAAAGATTAGAAAATAACAAGAAATTATCAGGACAAAATTAACAAACAAAATTCTAATCAGTACCTCTATTCTGGAGACATCTCACTCCCTCCAATTGGGTTTCAAGAATTTGCAAGGGAAATGGTAGCTGTTAGTGGGTAGATGGAGGACAGACAGCTACTTTTTTCTCCTTGTAGCCCAGGAAAGGATAAGCAATCCTCTCAATACAACCACTAAAAAAGTAACAATGGTTAATGTAACTGTGGGAATATACAGCCCCTCTCCGGTAATCAGAGAAAGGAAAACTCCAAACACAGGGAGAAGGGACCACTTTTGATTTCTGGAATTCTCGAAGACAGAAGTGAGTGACAGGATCTGGTGTAGTGGGGGGGTGGGAGGTTAGTAAGTCCGATCCATTTTGTTGCTGGTGGGAGGGGAAAGAGGGGACCAGACTTGGAGGATGACATAATCCTCACGTGATCAGGAGCTGCTGTGAGCTGAAGTTCTTATATTCCCGGGCTTCTTTCTCCTCTGGGTACCAGCTCCTTACTGCCCTGCAGACGTGGGTGCTTGTGGACACGGGAAAGAAGATTCCTTAAATCCCAACAGGTTGGTGTGAAGGAACAACTGGGACTCAGGGACAGTAGTGATTTAATCTAATGACTGGAGTAAGTCTAGGCTTGTTTTCCCAAACCCCCATAACGTTGTCAGAGATAATTGTAGCTTTTGAAGGGACAGGGGTAGGGGACAGTTTGAAGTGTCTTAAGAGACACTTAAATATTCAGTGATAGTTTAGAAATAATCTGCTTCTCTCATCCTGGCAAGCTTTAATTTTTATCCTTCTCCCTGGTCTTTCTCTAATTCTGCTGGAGAAAATGGTAGGCCTGGGATATTGATTGCTGGGTAGAGAAAGGCAGAAATCTCAGGGTGAGGACAAGAGAAATTTAGAGATAACTCGAAAATAGTTCGACTCACTTATTGCAGGCCTGCTGCCATGGTGGGGTGGGGCAGGTCTGAGGAGGGAGAAAGTGGGCCTTGCAAGGACCAGGCCTGAGGGTGAGGGGTGGGAGGTGGCAACAGAAATCCTGGAGCATAGGGCAGGGATAGGCAGCAAAAAAGGCAGTAGGAAATTTTGGGCGACCAAGAAATGTAAGAATCCCGCATTCACAATATTAGCGAATGCCTTGTTTCTAGAGCTGCCGGTTGAGACTGAGAACTCCCCACCCGCCCCCTTCCTTTTTGTTAGGTCGGAGAGTCTGTGTTCACAGACATCTGGAAGCAAGAAAAAGAGCAGGCCTTGCGCAGGCACAGGTCAGTGTGAGGGAGGCTTTTAGACCCAGTCTCTCGGAGTGGGAGTCAGGAAGGGCTAAAGCTGGGTAAAATTAGCGTTTCACAGTCTTCCTCCGCTTCTGCTCCCCTTCTCCCGCCGGTTACAGAGGCCATTAACCTTGTCTGCTGGGGAAATGGTGGGTTCCTGGTGGGGAGGGGGGTGGAGGACGAAGAGCAAGAGGTTGGGTTGGGTTGGGGATGGAGGAGCTGAGGTGTCTCTGCTGCTGGAAGTTGTGATTCTGTACCTGTGGGCCCCGGGTGGGAGATTAAGGCAGGTGTCTTGCCTCAAAGAGAAACTGACAATCTTGATTTAAAAGTAATGAAGCAATCGTCTTTGCATTTTCTCCTTGCAGTTAAGTAGGAAACAACATCATGCAAAAGCACTGCAAAGAAAACGAAGGAAAGCCCAAATGCGGTGTGCCAAAGAGGGAGGAAGAACGCCCCTATGGAGAATTTGAACGCCAACAAACAGAAGGGAATTTTAGACAGAGGCTACTTCAGTCTCTTGAAGAATTTAAAGAGGACATAGACTATAGGCATTTGAAGGATGAAGAAATGACAAGTGAGGGAGATGAGATGGAAAGGTGTTTGGAAGAGATAAGAGGTCTGAGAAAGAAATTTAGGGCCCTGAATTCTAATCATAGGCATTCTCGAGACCGCCCTTATCCCATTTAATTCATTTCTCTGAAAATTGAGGCTTTTTTCTGTTATTAATATTGTAACTGATTTGTTTTTGCATTTTCTTGCTAAATATTTGCCATCATTGTACTGCAATCATTTGGTGTTGTTTAGATTTACGTATGACTTTTCAACATCTCATCTTTTGACTCAATCGTATTTAATCATGAGTCTCATTCATTCACATGGTAAACTGAAAATAAGTTGCAAAACAGTGTATATATATATATATGTGTGTGTGTGTGTGTGCACTTTATGTGTAGATTTCTGTATGACATAATGAAAAGGAAAGTGTCTGATTTAATATACACCAAAGGTTAACAGTGAATGTGTGTGTAATCTGTACTTTGTTCCCTTTTTTTGCCTATTGCATCTTCTAATTTTCAAAAAAATGAATATATGTTTTTGTGTGCATATTACTTGTGCCATCAAAAAATAAAAACACATTAAAACAGACAAAATAAAGCAATTTGTCAATCCCCTTTGGAAAGCAGTGAAATACTTACTACACATAAACTCTCAATAGCAGAAGTATAACATGGAAATGTAAACTTCAAATTACCTCTGGATCTCTTAGCCAGAGAAATAAACTGCCTATTATTATAGATGCACATGTTGAAGACTCAGTCTTTTCACAGGGAAAATATTGGCCTCACAGGGCTTTTGTGAAGAATAAATAAGGCAATAATTCTGAGCTGTGCTTGGTAGGACCTTGTCCCCACCTGTGCATACAGAATCCCCAAACCACTGTAGCAGTGTTTTCAAACCTTTTTTGTCTCACAGTACACTTGAACCTATAGTTAAACTTTGGCAGCACACTTAAATTATGTTGATCAAAGAAAAAAAAAAGAGTAAAGGAAAGAATATTCTTAGTGTGCTTTGAACTTCTTTTGAAAATAATTTAATTAATGATCTTTAAACATTTTCATGGCACACTGTGACACACTGGTTAAAAATCACTGCACTATATTAGCAAACCACCAATTATTTGAGGGAGAGCCTGGAGTGACTCCACTTGTGTCCACTCGGCAAAGGTGGGGGCTTCAATGCCAGTCCTCTATTCTTGAGCCTTACCCTTGTCTTTTCCCTTGGGTCCTGCCATGCCTGCTGGGCCCTTTGCTCTCTGCTAGTGGAGTCTCTGGCACTGGAGTCTCTGAGTGCCAAAACCCCACTAAATTTCCCAGAGTCCTCAGTAGGTTGAACTTTCACTCTGCCTTCTAAAGCTTCTCTTTCTGTTTTATAGCAACACTTAACAGAAGTGGGACTGCTCTAGGATTGCTTGGACTTCCGTGTCTTGCAGAGTCTTTAGCAAAATAACCACTTCTATTTTCAATCCCATCAACTTTTTTCTCCACAGAAGTCAGATGTTTTGAGTCCATTTGGGAGTTGGAACAAGGTACAAGTTTTAGTGAGATAGTATGCTGTAGTCACAGTTGCTGCTCTAAGGAATAAGATTCTGCCCTCCTTCTCTTGTGGGGTGACCTCTCCCTGAAGCTTCCTGGGAGGCCTGGATTTGTGCTTCAGAAGATTCTTGGGAGACGTGTACACTACACAAAGTAATGCAGAAAATAGCTTCCCCTCTCCACCCTCTCCCTTCCTGAAACATGTAAAAATGTTTCATAAGGCTAAGATATGTATGTACATGTGTGCATATATATAAGTGTATATGTATATACACAAATATATGTACTTTGTAAGATGTATATACACATATGTATGCTTTCTAAGACTAGTATATACACTAATATATATTAAGACCTAATATATATATATATATACATCTATATTTAATACAGTTTCTTTCATTCTTAAAATGTGTACACTTTTTTGGCACCCTCTATATACACATATAAATGCTTTGTAAGATATTTGTATATACACTTTAGTGTATATATAAATATAGCCTTAAAGTGTACAATACAAATACAGTCTTACAAAGCACATATATGTGTATGTATGTACATATATATACACTTAAGCATTATTTCCCAAATGGACTTTTTACATTTTGCACATCAAAGTAAAGACTATGTCGTATTTTTTCATTATACTTCTATTGATTAATACCATGATTAACATATAGTGGATACTTACATATGCTTGTTTAATTAGAATTCTTGTTTAATTAGAATACGACTATGTCGTATTTTTTCATTATACTTCTATTGATTAATACCATGATTAACATATAGTGGATACTTATATATGCTTGTTTAATTAGAATTCTACTGCCCAGTTTTACTTCTGATTATATACAATTGGCAATAACTTTACTTCTCTAGAAACTATAGTTTATATTTTCAAAAGAAACTCATGGCTCAGCGCCCATAGCACAGTGGTTACAGCATCAGCCACATACACTGAGGTGGCGGGTTCGAACCCAGCCCCAGCCAGCTAAACAACAATGACAACTGCAACAAAAAAATAGCCAGACATTGTGGTGAGTGGCCATAGTCCCAGCTACTTGGGAGACTGAGGCAAGAGAATAGCTTAAGCCCAAAAGTTTGAGGTTGCTGTGAGCTGTGACACCATAGCACTCTACTGAGGGCAGCATAGTGAGACTCTGTCTCAAAAAAAAAAAAAAAAAAAGAGAGAGAGAGAGAGAAACTCATGAGGCAACGATCACTCCACAAATGTAGTCTATAAAATTATTATAACATTGTAAAATGCAAAGAGTCATCTTACACTATAATCATCTGGAGTGCTTATTTACAATGCAAAATTTTGATACATACTCTTACAAACACACTGAGTAAGAATCTCTGTGCATTTGGCCCTGAAATTTCCATTTTCTGGTTATCATGAAATAACCCATTCTCTACTACTGCCTCATAAGCCCTCACCATATACCCTGTTTCAGCTAATCTGTGCAAACAGAATCTTCTTATAATCAAAGACACTACTGGTTTATAATTCATACTTAAGGGCTGCCCAAAGTCAAAATGGTAGTTATCATACCTTGAAAATTCTGGAAAAGATGTAAATAGAATGTCCATCAAATAAGTCTATGTGAAGAATAAACATTATTCAGCCTTACTGGTAAGCACAAAGACAAAAAAAAAAAAAAGTGACAAAGTATTACTATCTATGTATTAAATATGCAAACGATTTTTTACTTCTAATACTCAATATTGTTGAGGATGTAGACATTCTCATACTCAATGAGAGAGTAAATAAATACATCTATTTTTGTATTTCTATTTGCAATAAATTCCAAAAGCTGTATATATTTTATATTCTATGATTCAATAATTCTACTGCTTCAAATTTGCCCTAAGGAAATAATCATGGTGATTAATAAATGTTTAGCTATAAGCATGTTTACTAAATGATTTCACATATTTGCACATTTTTTTGTTTTCTTAGCAAAAGAAAGAATCAAGCAACATGGGCTGTGCAATCAAAAGAAAAATGAACATAGATTCTTACTCATCACAACACAAAAAGGTATCCCAATTGGATTAAATGTGAAAATGTGGGAAGCAAAAATAAAATGTTTTTTTTTTTTTTTTTGAGACAGAGCCTCAAGCTATCCCCCTGGGTAGAGTGCCGTGGCATTACAGCAACCTCCAACTCCTGGGCTCAAGCGAGTCTCCTGCCTCAGCCTCCCAAGTAGCTGGGACCACAGGCGCCCGCCACAATGCCCAGCTGTTTTTTTTAGTTGCAGCCATCATTGTTGTTTGGTGGGCCCAGGCTGGGGATTCGAACCCGCCACCTTAGGTGTATGTGGCTGGCACCTTAGCCACTTGAGCCACAGGTGCCGAGCCAATAAAATGTTACAAATAGGACAAAATGTATAATTATGTGGTAGTAATTATTTTCAGCAAGAAAGAAAATGCAGAATTCATAAAGGAAAAAATATAAGGGTGCAATGACAAGAAATATCCTGGAAAATATATTTAATACTATGATTAATAATGGGAAAATATTCCAATAGCTCTTATAAATGGAAAATAAAAGATAAACCAGTAAAAATATGTGCATTTTATACAATCCAACATTTTCATTGCTTTGAATTACAGTACAGATATATTTACACAGGTGCATGGGAAAGCATAGATAGATGTTTATTGTGGCATTGTTTGTAAGGATCAAAATATTGAAATCAGACTAAGTCATCAATAGGAATTTAGTCAAACTGTGGACTGTCTATACCAAGAAAAACTGCACACTAATAGTTGAAAAGAATGAGGTTCTTATATTGAAGCATCTTCAAGAATATTGTTGAGTACTGGATAAAAGACTTAAACCTAAGACATGAAACCATAAAGATTCTTGGAAAGAGTGCAGGAGAAACACTTGAAGAAATTGGTCGATCTGGGAGAAAACTTTATGAGGAAGACCCCCAGGACAATTGAAGTAATACCAAAAATACATTACTGGGATCTGATCAAACTAAAAAGCTTCTGTGTGCCAAGAACACAGTAAGTAAAGCAAGCAGACTTCCCTCAGAATGTGAGAGAATATTTGTAGGTTATGTTTCCAACAAAGGTCTGATAACCAGAATCCACAGAGAACTCAAACTTATTAATAAGAAAAAAACCAAGTGATCCCATTTTACTATAGGCAAGAGATCTGAACAGAAGCTTCTCCAAAAAAGAGAGACACATGGTATACAGACACATGAAAAAATGCTCGTCTTCTTTAATTATCAGAGAAATGCAAATCAAAACCACTTTGAGATACCATCTAACTCCAGTAAGAGTAGCTCACATAACAAAATCCAAAACTACAGATTTTGGCACAGATGTGGAGAAAAGGGAACACTTCTGCACTGCTGGTGGAAATACAAACTAGTACGTTCCTTTTGGAAAGAAGTTTGGAGAACACTTAGAGATCTAAAAATTGACGTGCTGTTGGATCCTGCAATTCCTCTACTAGGAGTATATCCAAAAGGCCAAAAATCACTTTGTGAAAAAGATATTTGCACCAGATTATTCATTGCAGCTCGATTCATAATAACCAAGTCATGGAAGAAGCCCAAGTGTCCATCGACCCATGAATGAATTAAT